GGTCCAGAGTAAATAGGAAGATTTTGCCCCTAGCAGGTAGCTGTGATCTTAAGCCCACTTAAACACATAGTTCACTCCCAGACATGCTTAAAATGAAGCACAATCTCAAATGCTTTGCTGAATGAGGGGTTGAGGCTTTCTTCTTTTTAATAATCCCAAAGACAAATTGTAAGGGTTTACCCACTGGTAAGTGGTGTAGACTGATTAGCTGAGCTTGAGGGAGCAGTTTAAAGACCAAGAGTCCCATGCACCCTAATTATTGTTATTAAATATATCTCCAAGGCAGCGATGTGAGAGACTTGTGCACTCTGTCACAAGGTTTTTAACAGACAGAAAGCAATAGCACAAAACTACAGTGTATCTACACTACAAAACCATACTGGCTGCCAAGAATAGATATGGATATGATTTTTAATGCTGCTAACACAGGATAATTCCATGCGAGGCTGGGGTGAGGGAGGGATATTCACTTCATATTTTGCTCCAAAATAAACGGTGGGATGGAGATTTGTTTCAAAGAAACCCATGCAAACAGTAGATTGAAGTCAACCTCACTACATCATCCATGCCTCCTTCTTAAATAGTGACAAAGGTGGCCTTGCTGGAGAATGACTTCTGCAGTTTGGCAGCAGGAGGAAGGGTGGCTCCAAGTAAGGCCTTTGGTGGGGAATTGTGAGAAAGGGTCACTCCTCACCAATTTTCCTCCACTGCTCCTCTGCAGGCAGGGATAGGCTGAAGAAGGATGCTCAGTGTTAGGCAGGAAGGATTTAGCCTTTCCACAAGCAGCTGTTTTCTCAGCCACAACCTTTAAGCTGAAAATGGGTTTGTTCAACGTGTGGTAGCATCAGAGTGGTTACAAGCTGCCTGGCCACAGCAAGTGGGCAGGCCCTCCCATACGCACACGCACTCTCCCATCATTCAGTTACCAAGAATTTTCCATCACTTCTTTGCAAACTTTGTGGGACCTGAATGAAAACCTTTTCAGATAAGTAAAACAACGTCAAATCTAAGCACGTCCAGGAAAGGAGTGCTACAATTGCACAGAAACACAGAAAGGCAGAAATATCTGGAAGGGGCACTAGTACTTCAGTGAGCAAAAGTTCAATAGCATGACTATCTGAGAGTCAGTGTATCTCTTTTGGGTCCTTGAGTCCTGAGAAACATCCAGATTTGGGACCTTTCATTCATTTCCCGCATATGTCAAATGCATTTGCTTTCTGTGAGTCAGAGCTGGGGCTTCACCAGACGCTGACTTCACCATCTGTAACTGAATTTCCCTTTGCTGCTGAGTCACCCTGCCCACAGACGGGCTGTGCAGATGCCCTGTGCAGATGCAGGCTGAACGGCTGGGGGAGTGTGCTGCACCAGACCCTAAATTTTCCATACCCTGAGGGCCTAGCAAAGTCACTGCCCTCAGTGGCACAAGAAGCTCTCACCAGTCATGGTGCTGGCAGAATTCAGGTTAGCTGAGAACATGGCTTGTTTCTCTGAACTGAGCTGTGCCAGTGACCCCCCTCATCCATTTCATGGGTGCAGTAAGTCTGACATCCTACCCCTGCTGTGGACAGCATCCATCTCTGTAATAGCCTTTGTAGGGGAAAAGAGAAGCAGTGGATGGCCCTTCCCACAATGAAACACTTGACCGAGATTTCTTGCAATGGACTTACGGCTTCTTCATCCCAGCCTCGGGCAGGTTGGGTCCAGTAACTACCATGCTCAAAGCACAGGGAGCACAGAGTTGTCAGAACCCCACTGAGCACAACAGCAAGCACATGCTTAGGAGTACTTGGGGATGCTGTGGAGCTAACATGGCCAAAATCGCTGGAAATTCAGCCCAAGAAGTGTAGGCAACATTAAGAAAACAAACTCAGAAGAAAGGGACAGGAATAGTGAACTTTTAACTGCCTTCAGGCTGTCACGACCTGGGAAGCAAGTGGGAATTAATATCTATTTCATTCAAAGAGTTTTGGAATAGGGTAAGAAAATAAGCATGGGAGGTGAATGTGGCAACCTAGGAAGATAGTGACTTAAGCACAAAGCACATAGCATGGCTGGTTAAGGAAACTACCTACCTAAAACCCATGTCTGGGAGCCCAATACAACCCATCCCCATGCCATTGCTCTCATCTACCCTGAGATTACCTGTGGCCTGAGACCTGACTGCTCCCATTCAAGTGCTGCAAAAGAGATTGAAAGCTGATCAAAGGCTACAGTTATCAGCTCCCCAGCAGGGCCAAAGGAGCATGTCATAAGCATGGATAAGCCTCCATGCTTTCCTTTGTTGGGCTGTGCTGGAGTCATCAGGAATTGTCCCACAGACTGCTCTTAGGGTGGATTACACCAGTAGGCAGCAATGCTTTTCCCTTAAAGCACAGCTCCTCACAGTGCTTCTCTTGCTTGGGAAGAGGAGCTAAGAGGCTCCACGAGAGAGAGAGAAACATGGTCCAGAGATGGGAAGGGACTTTCAAATGCTTTGGCAAAGCCATATTGCCAAGAACAAGCCTCTTTTCTCCATCACTTTTGCAGCGTGAAGCTGTGTTGGTGTTTCCCAGTGACAAGCAACTCCTCATCCTTCCACACTGGGGAGCACTGGGAACATGAAAGGAGCGGGAGCTGTGTCTATTCCATGCTGATTCAGCCGTCAGCACAAGTTAGCAGCACTGGTCAGCATGCACAAAAGAATTCTATGCTGGGAAATCCTAAACTGTTTTGTAGAAATGTGTTCTTTTTACTGGTATTTTCATGAAAGAAATCAAAAGTGCTGTTTGTCATATGATTTAGCTTTAGGTAGTCCTATGAAGAGCAGGGAGTTGGTCTTGGTGATCCTTATGTGTACCTTCCAACTTGAGCTATTCCATGATTCCATTATTTCTAGCTTCATGACTCCTCATCAGAGGCTAAGTTTGCTGTGCTGAGCTGGTGGCAGATGAGCTTGTGCATTAGGGTTTGTTTCATCCTTGTGCTTACCTTCAGCTGGGAGTATGACCTCTTCACCCAGCTGCTCCAGCACAGCAGGGCTTAGAGAGTGTACATTTAGGTCTAAATGGAGTCTTGCTACAGAGAGCAGTGTAACACCCTGTCCTGATGTTCCCATCCTGCTTCCTGCGCAGCAATGGGACTGCCATGTGCATTTAGAGAGCACCCTCTTCTGGGGGCAGCAGTGAAGGCTGCTCTCAATTGCACAAATCTGTCTCCTACAAAGCATCTGCTGTAAAACGGGTGCACACCAGCAGAGCTGGCTAAACACATCAGTGGTACTGCAGCATTCTGAGCACCTCCTAACTTTGCAGCCAGCAAGACATAACTCTTATAGTGGATTTGACTTGGATTCTTAAAACGGGGTCATGGCCTATGATTCTATCGTGGACCTTCCCTGGACTGGGGAAAACTCGAGGGCAGACCTGGTAAATCTCTGTTAAACTGTTTCAATTAATATGAATTTTCAAGAAAACTATAGGCGTCCACAGAAAACATAGCACCACTTTAATACAGTGAAGAAAAATTCCTATGCACCAGCACACATGGCTTTACCCTGCTCACCCCCTCCACACTCTGCATAGCCAAGGTGGGTGCAGGAGAACACCAAGACCTTTCTTGCACTGCCAGGCTGTCTCCAGCTTCTCTTGTGCCTTGTGCCTGAAATATTTGAAACGTTTTTTCTTTCTCTTTAGACAAAACCTAAATTCATTGTAATTGCATTGGAATAGAGCTAAGTTAGCTAGTGTTTCAATAAAACATCCTTAAAATGCTATCCTGAACAGAAAAGTCATAGTGACAGACAAAACTTAATCAAACTTGCAATTAAAATATGACCTTAATGAAATTTAAATACAGAAATGTTATTGTATACAGAAATTTTTACTTACTTAACAAAATAACCTTAGCACATCATCCTGCTATAGAAGCAATGGGATGTGGTTTGTTCTCATACCTCAACAATATCCGTTATTTCAAAAATTAACATAGGTAACAATTAAGACTATCCAGTTAAAAGATAAATGTTCCGAGTTTATATCTATGCTTTAAGAAAGTAAATGACATTAACTCTGTATTGAGCACTGTAGATTTTGATCTTCCTTTTGAAGAGCAAAAACCATAGATATTTTGGCTAATAACTCAGTGACCTTTTTTACATAAAAATGAAGAACTGTTGAAATGTGTTGATCCAGTGAGAGTGTCCAATGAAATTTTAATCTCACTGAGGCCAAGGAAAGGTTGCCATTGACTTCAGCAGAGCCAGGAAGGATTTGCTGTCAGAGGGCTCCTGTGCTGCTACTCGAATGACACAGCAATTCCTGTGAGCCCACAAAGCAGGTTATCAAACAGTGCTGGCTCTCAGGACCACAGAGCAGTCTGTTGCCACCTCTCCACCTGTGTGTGAGCAGAGGCAACTCAGATGCGTAGGTAAAAGTGAGGAAACAGAACTCTGCTAAAAAATGCAACTTAAAAGTGCTTCCTCTTCACTGTCAGGGCAGAGCAGTGCACAGATCTTCTTTCCCAGCATGCAAAATGAGATTATGGTCTGTTGATGGAGGGCATGGCTAGTATCATGGGTTGTATGGCAGCTGAGGGAATATGCTGTGGCTCCAGGTCATGGAATTGGGCTATATGGTGCACATTCAGGCTATGGAATCATAGAATGCTGCTATAATGTAGCATCAGGGGGGTTGGAACTAGATGATCTTAAGGTCCCTTCCAACCCTAACCATTCTATGATTCATGATCACAGGCCTGTCCCTGAACAGCTAGATGAGAGAAAGAAACTGTGACGTGTAAAAGAGCATGGCATGAGGTACAATATGGAAAAGACCCATGGATTTGACAGGTCTTATCAGTTGTGTGCCAAGTACTGCAACGTTAGGCCTCACCAATAGTTTGAAACATGCTAAGGCAGCAAGTAAATGCAGTATAAACTATTTGCACTCCCTGCCCACCAAAGGGAATAAACCATGCTGAAGGTTTATTGCTAAAGGCAAAAGGGGAACAGAGGTTCTGAAGTGTTAATGTTTCTTGCTCCTTTTCAGCTTCTGTTTGAAGATAGCAATGTCATAATAGTTTTTAAACTTCACCAGGAAAATGGGTATTGGGATGATAATAGTTAACATGCCAAATACCGCCGCTAAGGCTGCTGTCACTTGGCCAGCTGTGGTGAGAGGGATAATATCTCCATAGCCAACTGTAGTGAGTGTGATCAAAGCCCACCAGAAGCAAACAAGAATGTCAGTGAAGTGCAGCTCCCCTGTGTAGGAGGGATGGCTACCCAGCAACTCCCCATAGAAAAAGAGAGAGCCAAAGAAGAGGGTCTCAAAAGCCAAAATCATCAGCAGGATGCAAATCTCTCTGAGGATAGACTTGAGGGTGTAGCACAGAACCCTGAGGATCAGTGGCGTTTCTATCAACTTGGATATCTTCAGGAGTTTGAGGAGATAGATAACTCGAACAAAGCCCAACCAGAGCCCCAGGCTTGGCACTCTCTGAATCTGCCCAGCCACAAAGAGTTCAATATAAACTGGGAAGAGGGAGAGGAAGTCAACAACATTCAGGGGGTTTTGGAAGAACAACTTCTTGTCTGGGCAGAAACAAAATCGCACAGAGAACTCAAAAGTAAACCAGAGGACACAGAAAAGCTCCAGATGAAGCAAGTAGGCAGCCTGGTGGTAATAGGGTTCATGGTCATTGTGGGAGATCTCAGAATAGCCAACAGAAGTGAAGTTTGCAGTAAAGAACTCAAACTGTGCCTTGGTCTCCTCACAGAATATGATGACAATTCCAACGATGAACAGCAGAGAAACAAAAGCCAAGCACTGCAGAGAGAGGAAAGGACACACATGCAATTAGTTCAACAAAGTATGCCATTCCCCCAGTGCCCCACCACAACCCCAGGATCACTTCCACAGGCACAGTACAATCCCAGACTCATCTTTCTCAAATCTCCATTGTTTTGCTCACAGGGAGCACATTTTCTCCTTCCAGATTGGAAAAACAATAGAGAAGATAGATTGGAGTCAAAGAAAAATACCACCTGAATGCATGTATCAGAGTTTGTAAGAAAGGGAATATCCAACAGCTGGAGTAATGCAGACAGACTCTCACTGTGGCCTCTTCAGCACAAAATGTTGGCTCCAGAAATACCCGGCAGCACAGAAAACATTCCCTGCAGTCTCTGACTTGCATTTGTTGCTCTACATGCCTGACATTTTAAAGAGGCATGGGGCATGCATTTTGTACAGAGAGCAGGGACAAGAGGAGGAGAGAAGAAGAAGGAGGTGTCTGTTAATGGGAAGAGAGAATTTTGTTGGTTTTTTTTTAAATCTAGGACTCAAAGCATATTTATCAAAGCTATAATCCATTAGCATATTTCATGGACCCATTCCAGTAATCCCAAAGGACACATGCTGTGTCCATCACCACATATAGTATTACCTTAGCACTGAAAGAGGAAAAGGGTTTTTCAAACATAGACCAAATCTTTGGCTGCCATCTGGATCGCCAGCTCAAATCCCTTCTTTCTATCTGGACTATGAGACACTGGTCATCAGTCTGTTCATTTTCATCCAAAATGTTAAACTCCTCTGGCTGCACCTCTCTGTTATTCAGCTTCAGCCAGCAGCAGGATGCAAGCTGTGCCTCATTGATTTCCCAGAAAGCCAGCTCTTCTTCCAAGACTGACCTACAGGTATCAATGGGACAGTGGAAATGTTTCGTCCTGTAATAGTTCAACACGTAGCTGAAGATCTCAGCACTCCTGTCAAAAAAGAACTCTTTGGTGGTGGGATCATAGTCGTAGATGCTTGAGGCATGGGGCTCTGTGAGGCTGCACAGCTTCGTCCCTGGGAAGGTCCGGAGGGTGCTGCTGTATGTCTCATGTCTGACTCCTCCGATATTCAGGATGATTTTTTCCTTGGAGCCTTCCATGTGTGAGGGAGGAGGGAGGCACAAGTCCTCATAGGCTCTTGTTTATCTTCAGTCAAAAAGAGAAAAACACAAAAGAAGTAAAGCAAGCTTTGGAGCAGGAAGATTTTCCAGGGTACCTCATTCCAGTGCTTTTAAAGCACATTTTGTACCTGAAACCTGCATCTCCTACAGGGAGGAAGGCACTTGGCCATTTCCCATCAATTCAGTGCCTGTTCCTACGCTCTGCTCCATGTCCATATGATCTGAGCACTTTTCAGGCGATGCATCAAACAAAATGACAGACATCTGGTTTTCATTGCTCTCCATCCCAGCTTTTCCCCACGGGGACAGAGCGCACACTCCAGTCTGTTTCACCACATTTGGTTCATGTACTGTAGATAATCTTGCAATGAACTCATTTGAAGTAAAGGTTTTTCCTTAAGTCATCCCTATACAGAGTCCCACTGAGCCAAATAACCCTTCCCTCTGCAGGAAGCTGCTCCTTACCTGGAATCTATATGCAGGATTCTCAGACTAGATAGAAATGGTGAGCAACATACTGCACTCTCTTTCAGGGCTGGCTGACATCTCAGAATAGCACCAGAACCTGCTGCTATGGCCTTTGGCATTGGAAAGCATATTCAGTTGCTTATTTCCTGTAATACATCCCCTGTTCTACTCTTCAAAATCCAACATACCTGGGAGAAACTCAAACCCTTCTTTATCAACATTATTGTAAGAAGGGAGGGAAACCAAGGATCTCTGCAGCCTGAGGAGCACGTAGGAGAGGTACAGAATAGGGGCAGGATGTTCTTATGAAAGTATCTAGGGCTGCCTTTCACCCACAGGTATCCACTTCTGGTTGTCTGTACCTGTCCATTTCCCCTCCTCCGTTCCTACACATTTCCATCCAACTTTCTCTTATGCCTGGCCTTTCTAGTTCTTGCCCTTCTCTTCTTACAACTGAGCAAGCCTGTGTATCTTTCCTGCTTAGACTCTCTTACCCAGAGACGGCTGCTAAGTGTGCTGAGCCCATGTACACAGCAATTCCAGTTGTCCCTCCTCTCTTTTTTGCAGAAAGTGCTGAGCATGAGAGACACAGATCACTTCTGCAACGAATCTTTCCATGCAGGATCAGCAGGGAAACAAGCCCTGCATCAGAGGGGGACTCTCAGAAGTAAAGAACTTCATCCAGCACCTCATTCAGCTTTATCAGAAAAAGCTGGAAGCTGCAGCTTGGTCACATACTCATGGCACAAGAAGAATTAGTGCCCTTCTGCTGTCCTTTCCAATCCCAATATATGTGAGGCTTCTTGCAGCTTCACCCTGAAACTTCCACTGGCTTTGATGAGAGCAGGATTGAGCGTAAGGACTAAAAGTGTGCAGGCATTGCTTAGTAGTTGCTGCACAGGAATCCACACAGTGTGATTCTAAGCAGGTTAGACTAATTCAGCACTCAGCAAATCTGGAGTTACATTATTGGTCTCTGTTGTCTGGCTCTCTAGAGCACAGTGATTTTTGAGATCCCAGCTGAAATATCCTTTATCTGCTGAGAATGCCAGATACCTCTTGCTCAAACATAATAATCCCCATGTGAAAAATGAGCCAAGAAGTGCCATTTCGTATTCTTACCTTGGTGCTATTGCAGCAACTCTGCAACCAGAAGAAAGGGGAAGAGACTGGGAAGAACAGAGACAAATGCAGTGAAAACAGGATGTTCGATGGCCAGTCTCCAAAGCTCAAGTCTCATAGATGCCAGAAAACAAAACCAGCCAATAGCACTGAAAAGAAGCAGAGGCCCCTCTCCCTTGTTCTCTGCCCTATCAGCACTTGCTCTCCCCACTCCAAGGAATAACACTTGAACAAGAAGGCAACAACAAAGGCCAGATATGCTCTGACTATTCTGTCACCCACTGGTTTACTAAATCTCAAAGGGCCACAGTGCTTGGGAAATAAGTGCAGCTCAAATGTTTTAGGACCAATTAGATTTAACTTTCAAGTCACAGAAAGGCAGACAGAGCTTTGTTCTTTCTTGGCTATATCTTATTCAAGTTTGAGTTAAAATTAATATAGAAAACAACATGAGCAAACAAATAAAAACCCCAAAACACCAGACCCATCTTCTTGTCACAGTCTCTCCTTTTTCTGGTTTGAAGGGCTTTTACTTCATTTCTGCATGACCCAAAGCTTAACCTTTTGTACCCACTGATTTGAAAGGCATTTTTTGTGATTGATTACTCCAGTAAAAGGGTTGGCACATAGTTATTAATCCCAGTCAAGAAAGGCATGCTGCGTGTAAAATTTCCTCTTGGCTGACATTCCAAGGCTGGTTCTAAGTATCACCTCTGCTTGGTTCAAACTCTCTGGAAAGAAAATAGGACAAGGAATCTCCTTATTCCCAGAAAGAGCAAGACTGTTCAGGAAGGCTCTGGGAGCTTCCTTTTCAGTTATACAAATCAAAAGCAGATTAGTGTCTCTTCAGAGGAAGTAGTATCACAGTTCACCTGCTGGGGTTTTAATTTTAATCCACTACCTACATTACCCTGACACACCAAAACCTCTTTTCTTTTAAAAAATAGGTTTTCCATTTAAGCCTTTTACCTAGAAAGCAGTCTGGTTATTCACTCCTCAGGAACACTTCACCTGCAGCTGCAAGTAACTTCGCTCACCCTAACCATCCAGATTCCCAAAGTACTACAGGGACACCACAAGACAATCCTGGCCTCTCAGCCAACACCACAGCAAGGCTGCAGAAACTAGAACAGCAAATTACTGCCAATCTCGTGTGGGACATTCCAGGCAACAAGCCACCTTTGCCCATTACCTCCCAATTCTGTACTGAGCAACCTTATAGCCGGACATCACAAGAGCATCAGCACAAGCGTAATTGCCCTTAGGTCTGGGCTCTGAAAGCACATGAAGCATGTGAAATCTGTTCTGGTTCAGTCCTTGCTCCCTTCTATCACTCTAACAGGCACCAAATTCGTCACAACCTTTTCCCTCTCCACAGAGAATAGGAGTGAAAAATAATCCTTTCAATTTAATTCCCGATATGTCTCTGAGGTTCTGGAAGCGGCTGATCTGATCAAGTTTGATGTATCCTATCTGTTCCACAGCATTTGCCTTTTACAACCTTTGCACTGCAATTGATTTTTGAAACCCAGAAATAATCTGGCAAGCAAAATGACACATGGTGTTCCTATGCTCTGAATAAGGCCCTTTGATTGCAGTAAACAGCTTGTCCTTTCAGAACATTTTTTAAGCAGATGAAAAGTGCAACTCCATTTCCAGAGAACAGGGCCCTGTTCCAAGTTTTCTCCCTGCCTCATATCTTCTGAGAATTCACTTTAACTGCATGAGGCACTGCGGGAGTTTGGCAACGAATGTTAAATCTGTTCCCTCAACCTTACACTTCTTTTGAGCAATGAAACTCTTGTTTCAATTTGGCACACGCTTATTAACACCCAGGAACAAGGTAGACTTTTTCTGGGGGAGGAGGTTGAAGCTGTATTAAACTGAGGCATCTTTCAAAGACGTTAACAGAACTCATTCAGCATTTCTTTCCCTTAATCTCTGGGTTTTAGTAAAATAAATGTTTCATACAGGGTAGTTCTGTCATTTTTTTCCCGTTCAGATGCACGTGGTCTCCACTATGCACTCAGGCGTACTCATGCTAGTCTAAACGGGGGGCGTGTGTGTGGATATGTTTAACTGCATTTGTACTAGAATATAAGAGGAGTTTTAGCTTTCTAGTATAAACATTTCTTCAGAGAACGTTCATAGAAAGCTGCTGAGGATGATTAACAGTTTTGCAAACAAAATGTTGCTTCAAATATTAAATAAGAAAGCTGAAGCTGTCCTAAAGTCCTGACAGCGTTGGGGAACGACCAAGCTACTCCCTAGGTGCTGGAGGTAGCACCAGAGCCTATACACTTAGCTTTTCCACTAGTAAAACCAGTGTAAGTAGGTTCTGTAGATTCCCACCTCCAGTGCTATTTTCCCATCCCGTGTTTCAGCTCTACCTCCCCTCTGACTTCTAACACAAGTGTATTCCGGCGAATAAGCAAATCAGTGAAAAGAGAAGTTTAAAAAATAAAATCCTCCAGAACCAAGGTGGTTTATAGCCTGGATCATCATTTATTGATGCAGCCTACTGCAAAAACCTGTTGCAGTTGGAAAGAAGAGCAGTTAAGCCTCATTCTCTTGCTGGAAGGTCAGGGGCACTGGAAGCACCTGTATGATGTGTGCTGTTTCAGCCAGGAGAGCTGCCTCTTCCCTCTCCCTTTAGGCCCATGGTGGGCACCATCTTCCCAACGGCGCTGAGTTCAGACAGATCATGAGATCCAGGGTGAAGCCCTACGTTACCAGATGCCCTTCGTATCTTGCCATGGGGGCCACGTTATGCCTCCCACGAGGTTCACCCTAAACTCCTGCCCTGAAGTCCTGTGGACACCCTTCCTCACACTGCCCCCTCCACCCGCCCCACAACGCATCTCACGGTCACTCCGCCGTCCCCAGCTACACCAGGGGAGAGCCCCCCCTGGTTTGCACCCTCTTTTGCCCACAAGAGCACACCCCTGGAGGAGACCAGGCTGCTCCGAGCCCCGCGCAACCTGCCCCAATGGAAGGGGTTGGACCTGGGTGAGCTCAAGCTCCCCCCACTTCAATCTGTGCCTCTTTGAGACCCACCCCCTTGGGCCCTCCCCGCC